TTTATTTGTCTAGTTACCGAGTAAAGATTTAAAAAATTGAAACCCCTTAAAGTCATCTTCCTTAAGGATGACATTATATCAGCAGTCCCCAACCTGCGATTCCCCAGACTCCAGGGGGAACCACTGACCCACCGTGAAGTGTCTATAAATCGTCTATGAATAAAGCAAATGGTATATCTCATCATACAGTATTATTTTCGTTTGGTGGAGATACTGTTAGGATGTTAGCAACATTTAAATTCATTTAAATGGGTTAGTCAATTCAAAGTAGCCTCGTCGTCATTTCCTTAATCAATGGATATTTATCTGCACTAACACCATGTTGTAATTCAAGAAATTTTTAATGTAAATAAAAGGTTGTATTTACATCAAAAAGAGTGGAAGCCATTGACCTACACAAATACCCACCCAAAAGAGTGAAGGACTGCTTGAACTGGCTCATCCCACCTGATTACATTTGTCAACCTCACACTCTAGTTTCTTGGGAATGGTTAGGTCAAATATTCTGTGTCTTTAACACTGAAAATGCACTTGTACTTATAAGATCTCCCACCCTAATTTTTGATTGGTAAATGTGGTTCTCCATCCCTTTAGGAATGTATAAGTGGCAGGAAATACACAAGTACTAGCCATGACTACTCACTAGATAAGTCTAGATCAGTGGGAGAGGACGAATTTGTTGTTTAAGCACGATTCAGCTTTATTTGCTAACCTAGAAAGGATCTGTGTACACATGACAGTTAATTTTTTGTGTCAACTTGACTGGGCCATGGGGTGCCCAGACATTTGGTTAAACATTGTTTGTAGTGTGTCCATGAGGATGAGAAAAACATCTGAATTGATAGACTGAGCAAAGTAGATTGCCCTCGCCAATGCAGGTAGGCCTTGTCCAATCCATTGAAGGCCTGAATAGAACCAAGAGGTGGAGTAGGGGAGAATTCACTCTCTCTGCCTGACTGTCTTCAAGCAGGGACAATGAGTCTTCTCTTGCACTCAGACAGGAACTTACATCACCTGGTCTCCTGGGTCTCCAACTTGAGGATGGCAGATCCTGGGACTTCTCAGCTTCCATAATCATGTGAGCCAGTTCCTTATATTAAATCTCTTCATGTATCTATATCTTTATCTATATCATCTGTATCTATATCCTATTGGTTCTGTTTCTCTGGAAAACCTTAATACAGCATGTGATAATCTTACCTACTGCAACTAGGTAGCAGCCTATTTCCATTCTACCCCAAGCCTTGCATTCCCCCCACCTTCAGGGTATTATGATCTTGCACGTTCCTGAGGGCTGCTGTACCTCTCTTGAACTTCCAGGTGCAGAACAGAAATGCAAATGTGTTATGGGGTAGGATGGGATGTGGAGGAGAAGTCAGGAGCAAATCGGGATATATTGTGTTATTTGTGCCCTCTTTATCCCCTCTCCATTTGTTATTCATAGCATAATCCCTAGGACAAGCTCCCAAGGAAGAGTGGGAATCTGGAGGGCAGTGGAGACATTACCTTGTGGAATCCTATAAGTGACTTCTCCAGGCTTCCTGAGCCGTCGCAATATATAGTCACTATGAATGTTGATTCCCATTCCCAAAATAAACAAGAAGACACCTTGGCAAAGAAGAGAGAGTGAAGAAGTTAAAAATGTATCCTGATCTTGCTGTTTTTCTCATAAGCTATTTTCTAAAAATGAAGAAAAGGGCATTTAATTTTGAATTCTAAGAATAATACTAAGAGACGGCAAAAAGAGGGGGGGCAATTAGCCATGGTCCCAAATTTGGGTAGAGTGGCCATGTTGTTTCATAGATCAAAAGACTAAAAATGCACAGCGCCATGTGACGGAGGCAGGTGGGAGAGGAGAGAAAGGGAGGCAACACCATTGTCCAATACCTAAACAAAAAAATAAGTAAATAAATAAATGAGTGAATAAATAGCAAGCTTTTGGCTCATTCACAAATAATCAAACTGTGGTTGGCAAACTTAACAGCTAATTCCAACCCCTTCTCCTTTGCCATCCCCTACTATAGAGGCTAGAAGGCTGGAAGGTGGTCATGTGACCTAGTTCTGCCAAAAAGATGTAAAGGGAAGTCTTCTGGGGGCTTCCTTTGAAATCTTTTGCTTTTATGGTCAAAGGGCAGATGGCACCAGTGCCTCTACCACCTCCCTCCTCCTTCATTGCCAGATGTGATGCCTTGAGCTGTAGCAACTGTCTTGCAATCATTAAGTGACTATCATGAGGACCAGAGGTAAATATGCTAAGAACAGTGGAACAGAAAGATGGAAAGTTCCTGGAATCTTCATGGCATCAGTAAGCAACTAAAGGAATGTAGAAGCCACCTACCTTTGGACATTCTTGTTATGTAAGAAATATAAATTCTTAATTATTTAAGTCACTATGAGTTGGTTTTCTGTGACTCATTGCTGAGAGCATTCCTGACTGATATATCCATTCTCATGAAAGTAATGTGAGCTAGACTGGAGAGCGTGGCACCTAGCAAACTGGTTTCCACCACCATCAGTTCACATACACACTCTCCTTCGCCATTTGCTGGTACAGAAATGGCTCTGGTCTGAGGTGAGGAGAGCCAGGATCAGGGATGTTAGGTCTTCCATCCCAGTGGGCATCATTACAGCCCAGAAACACTCACTGTTCCACATAGATGCCCAACCTCACCTCTCAAAGAAGTGTATTTGTGCTGATCAAAATACGTGAGGCAAAAAGCAAGAACAGTTGAATTCAAAACAGTCAAATCTACTCTCACCTCATTTGCTATAATATGAAACGATTATTTTCAATCTTGTCAAAAGATCATTGTTCTGGAAGAAAGGGAAACTAGGGAGGGACACCAGCTGGGGGGGCAGGGTGTGGAGAGAGGGAGGGGAGATAGCAGGCACAGCAGTGCACAAAGCAGGAACCTTGGACTAGATGTCTGTGTGTCCTACGGCAAGTCACTTACCGTCTCTCAGCATCAGTTTTCTCATCTGCAAAATGTAGACTCTAACAGTACCTATCTCACAAGGATCGTGTGAGACTCATTCATGTGTTCACTCGTTCATTCATTCATTTATTCAACTAATATGTATTGAGGGCTTACTATGTACCAAGCACTGTCCTAAACACCAGGGATACAGTAGTGAGAAAAACAGTCAAGGTGTCTATTCTCGTGGAGCTTACATTTCAGTGGAGGAACACAGAAATGAATTAAGATAATTTAAAAATGTAAAATCAAATAATATCATGACAAAGCAGATAATCAAAGTAGGATAATGAGATACAGAGTGAACTGGAGTAGGGAGGAGGTGTCTCTAATCTAGATGAGGTGGATAGGGAAAGCTTTTCTGAAGATTTGGCATTTGTCTTGTGATTTGAATAATGAGAATGCAAAGATCTGAGGGAGAGCAATCTAGCTGAGGAACTGACAGGTGCAAAGGCCCTGAGGCTAGAACAGGTTTAGTGTGTCTGAGAAACAGAAGGAAGGCTAGTGCAGTTGAAGCTTTAAGATAGAGGGGAAAATGAGGACATGCAGATGGGATTATAAGCAAAAAATCACATCAAGCATTATAGGCCTTGGTGAGGTGTTTGGATTTTTAAGTATAATAGGAAGCCATTGGCAGGTTTTAAGCAGGGGAGAAATAAGATCTGATTCCTGTTTATTATTATTACAAAAGAAGTATATATGTTATATGGAAGATTAAAAACTAATTAGCAAAAATAAGAAAACCAAGACACTTTATTCCTACCACCTAGAAATTACTACCATTAAACACTTTAGTGCATATCCTTCCAGATTTTCATCTTATGTAATATCTAGGCCATATCCCAATTTCCTCAGATGTCCCCAAAACACCTCTTATAGCTGGTTTATGCAAACTAAGGTCAATATGGGACCACATCTGGCATCAAGTCATTATATCCCTTGAGGATCTTTTAATCTAGCCTAGACTCCTGACTGTTTTTGTTAGGACATTGACATCTTGAAAAGAACAGCCAGCTGTCCCTCAGAATGCCCGTCTTTGGGAATTCTGGCTTACTTCCACATCGTGGCATTTAACTTATTTCCTTATTCTCTGTATTTCCTGTAAACTGGCATAAATCATTTCCTGTGTGGTTATGCTACCAGTTTAAAAAAAGCTAGGTACATTTATTTATTTATTCTCAATTTTAGGGACTTTTTTCCATTTAGATTTTTTTTTAGCTAAGTTATGAAGTTTCATGATTCAAAGAACAAAATTATATTAAAAGAAAAGCTCTGCCCATCATCCCATTCTCTTTACCCCAAACCCTACAGGTAACCATTTTTTTATAAGTTTCTTTTTTATCAATCCGATATTTCCTTTTCCAATTTTACACACACACATTTTCCTTTTAGCCCATGAAACGTAGCATACTATAAGCAGTGTTTACGTTTTATTTATTTTTATTTAACCACATGTTCTGGAGATGTCTCCACATGAGCACACAGAGATTTTCCTTGTTTTTGTTTCGTTTTGTTTGTTTGTTTGTTTGTTTGTTTGTTTTTGTGGCTCCAGAATACGCCATCGTGTGCATGTTTCAGCATTTGTACAACTAATCCCCTGGTCGTGCATGTTTTCAAACGTTCCCTCTGACTACGTGTGGAGAAGGGGCTAGTGAAGGCCAGGGCCAGAGGTAGGAAGTCTAGTTTGAAGGTCACTGTGGCAGTTCAGGCAAGAGGTTGTCATGGCTCAGACCAGGACGAGGTTGGTGCTGTTAGGGAGAAGTAAGCCCAGCTGGCACCTGCTTTGGAGCTAGAGGCTGCAGTGCTAAGCTGATGGAGAGAATGTGATGTGTGATGTAAAGAGAGGAGTTAAGGATAATCCCTAGATTTTTGTTTGAGCCAAAATAATGTACAAACAATTGAACCGTCCTGGATTTTAGTTCCTCTTGCAGATAATGAAAAAAATTCAGCCATCTCTGTTTTCTACTATTTTAGATAAGGTGGTGAGGAAAAATCTCTTTGAGGAGGTGTGAATTGATGGAGACCTGAGTAAAGTGAGGGACCAGTTCCATGAATATATAGGGGCAGAGCATTCTAGGCAGAGGGAGTAGTCTGTACAAAAGCTCTGAGGCAGGACGAACTTGACCATTTCAGGCCCAGCAAAAAGGCCACTGAGGCTGCAGCACAGTAAATGAGGTGGATGGAGGCAGGAAACAAGGTCGGGAAATTGGGCAAGACCAAGAACGTTTGGGTTTCATAGGCAGTGGTAAGGAATTTGTATTTCATCCCGAGAGTAATGGAAATGCATTGGAGAGTTTTGAGATGAGGAATGGCGTGATGTTTTCCAAAGCTCTCTCAGGTTGCTATACAGCAGTTCCCCCTTATCCATAGTTTCGCTTTCCATTGTTTCAGTTACCCGCAGTAAACTGTGGTCCAAAAATATTAAGTGAAAAATTCCAGAAATAAACATTTCACAAGTTTTAAATTGCAAGCCATTCCGAGTAGCATGATGAAATCTCACACCATCCCACTCCATCTCTCCCAGGATGTGAATCATCCCTTTGTCCAGCGTATCCACACTGTATAAGCTATCAGATCAACTGTCATGGTATCACAGTGCTTGTGTTCAAGTAACCCTTATTTTACTTAATAATGGCCCCAAAGCACATGAGTAGTGACGCTGGCAATTTGGACATGCCAAAGAGAAGCCGTAAAGCGCTTCCTTTAAGTGAAAAGGTCAAAGTTCTCAACTTAATGAAAGAAAAAAAAAAATCATATGCTGAGGTTGCTAAGATATACAGTAACTTTTATTACAGTATATTGTTATAATTGTTCTATTTTATTATTAGTTATTGTTGTTAATTTCTTACTGTGCTTAATTTATAAATTAAACTTTATTATAGGTATGTATGTATAGGGAAAAACATAGTATATATAGGGTTCAGTACTATCTGAGGTTCCAGGCATCTACTGGGGGTCTTGGAACTTATACTCTAAAGATGAGGGGGCACTACCATATAAAGAAAAGACCGGTGTAGGGGTGAGAGAAGGGGAGAATGGAATCATTGGGAGGTTACTGCAATAGGGTGAAAAGAGGTGATGATGATTTAGACTGCGGGAAGGGTTTTACCTGGGGAATGGGTGAGAAGTGGTCAGATTTACTTACCCAGGGTAAACCGTAGGTCTGTGTACCACTCAGCAGGGTATTCAGCACAGTAAATCAGATAGTAGCCTTGGAGGAGTCCATTTCCCATGCAGAAGACAAAGCCTCTGAAAAGGAGTACAATTGGAAAAGGCCTCCCTCTAGTGAGAAATGAGTAAACAAATGTCCTGGGATATATGGAGAAGAAAAGTTAGGATCCATGAAAAAAAAAAAATCAAACAATGAGATTAAACAGACAATCGTATCAAACCCGTTTTTAAAAACTATTTTCCCTTAAATTCGTGCAATAAAAGAATATTATTATCTGGTTCTAGAGCAATCATTTATGCTATTATTTGTCTTGTTTCACTAAAATCCATAGCAGCCACAATTTATTACCTTATTTTATTCTTACAGCAGCCTTGGAAGGTAAATTTCATCTCCATCCAGTAGTAAATAAATACAATCCTATGAGCCCAGGATTGGAAATCAGCTTTATTTAAATCTAGACATGAAATCCAGTTTATTCTGGAAGAAAGGTAAAGCCTGGCTTACCCCATTCAGCACTGGAATGGTATTTTGATAGCAGCCACTCAATCATATGCTTTCCAAAATATTTCTGTAATATGATTTAATTACTGACATTGTTGCATTCCCTAGAAAGCAGACTGCAGAATCCCTTGAGAAAAGAGATATTCCTCTAAATGTTAGGAACTAAGAATCTAGAAGAATCTAGTAAGACAGGCTTAAAAAATATAAATAGCCTCAAAATAAAAATTTGCCCAAGATATAATGCTAAATACGAAACATCAAACTATATACCCTGTTTATAATTTTTCTTCTTTTTGCTGTAACACAACAGTCATACAAGAAAGTTCATAAACCTATGTGAATAGTTTAATGAATAACTATCAGATAAATACCCATATAGTCACTAACCAAGTCAAGAAATAGAACATTGTCATCACCCCCGAAGCCTCCCATGGGTCCCTCCCCATTCACAGTACCACCATCACTCCAGAGGTAACTACTGACTCGATTTTTGTAATAATCATTTCCTTTTGCTTCTTTACAATTTTACCACATTTGTATGCATCCCTAAAAATATAGTTTATTTTGCCCATTTTTAATTCCATATGAATGGAATCATACTCTATTATTTCTAGGATATTCTTTAATGTCTTGTTTATTTATCTTATCATGAGGTTTCTGAGACTGAAGCATGTTGTTGTGTACAGCTATGGTTCATTTATTTTCACTGTTGTAAATTATTGTCATGTATGAATATACCACATGTAGTTATCTATTTTACTTTGATAGATATTTTGGTTGCTTCCAGAGTGTTCTACTCACTAGAGATTATTTTCCCATTATTTGATTTTCCATTTTATGTTTAAATCTTTGATACATCTGGAATTTATTTTGTTGTAAGAAGTTAGATAAGAATCCACTTTAATTTTTTTCCTAATGTTAGTAAGTTCACTAAATATCTCTTTCTGCCTGACAAGCATTGCCATTGGTATCATATATTAAATTATGATATATGATAGGTTCTTCTTCTGGACTCTTGATTCTGTTCCATTGATCTATTTATTGCCAGTACTACACTGTTTTAATAATTGTACTTTTAAAATACGTCTTAATACTAGGTGGGACTATTCTTATGTCATTACACTTTTTGAGGACTTTCGAATTACTTTTGATTGTTTATTTGTTCATGTGAACTTTAAAACCAAGTTGCAGGCCACCCTCTTCCAAATTTTAGAAAGACTCTTGAATTTAAAAATTAATTAACAGAGTGAAATGGCAAAAGGAGGACCTCCAAGAGTTAACCTCTCCATAAAAGCAAAGAAAAAAGTGGCAAAAAATTTCAGAGTCAACTTTTTAAGAACTCTGGATGTTAACCAAAGGCTTGCAGCAATGTGGGGAGCATTTAGGCAAGAAAATCACTGAACCTCAGTAAGGGCAACAAGATTTTGGCATTTTAACTTACCCTAGTCCCATCTCCCACTTTCCAGCTCTGCATGGCCTTGAAAAATTACAGCCCACATTTGGGACTGGAGGGAGCAAAACAGGGCTAGAGCTCTTTCAAAGCCTCATTCCCAAAGAGAAGTCATTATTTTACCTATTTGGTGGCTCCCTGGAAGACTGCACTCATAAGGCTTGTCTTTATTCCAACTCACTCAAACTCACTCAGTGTTAAAAGTTCTGGGGAGAGGTAGTTTTTGAATGTTTTAAAAGCAGTGTCCTGAGGCAATGGATTACAGGTGCAACAAACAATAGACTAACCAAAAAGCTTAAAAGGAAAGATGAGGGATGAGATGCCCATAGGGACTTCGAAAATCTCAGATATAGTTCTGGGAATCTAGGCAGCCATGCACATGCATAGGGCCATAAACATGCTCAAAAAAAAACCCTGAAAATGTCCTAAGCTTTCACTTCTGATTGGCCTTGAGGTCTGAACAACTGGCAAGTGAGGCTAAAGCAGAGTTGTAAACTACATGGGTGGTTGCTGAAAAAGTTCCCTAACATTCACACAGAAGCCCTTGGGAGACATGTTTGTTCCAGGTATTTAAGGAAATCTCTGTCTAATCATTAACTGATCATCAAGCTAACCAAGTAGTGACTTTAGTGGCCACAACAATAAAGATAAAGACTTCACAGAATGAGTTCAGAAAAGTCACTAAGCAAACAAACAACTACCACAACAGGTACCAACAACCAACAAACACTGGGAGGCAGGAAGAATCTGATTTCCAGAGTTGCCACATAGTATTATTTGAAATACTTAGTTGTCAACTATAAACTATGGGACATGCAAAGAAACAAGAAAGTATGATCCATACATAGGAAAAAAAGCAACCAATAGACACTGTACCTGAGAAGCCCAGACATTGGACTTTAACTATTTTAAATATATTCAAAGAGCTAAAGGAAACCATGTCTAAAGAATGAAAGGGAAGTGTAAGAATGATGTCTCATAAAATAGAGACTATCAATAAAGAGATAGAAATTGTAAAAAGTAACCAAATAGAAATCTGGAATTGAAAAGTGCAACTGAAATGAAAAATTCACTAGAGTGATTCAGCAGTGGACTTGAGCAGGCAAAAGAAAGAAATCAATGAAATTGAAGATACGTTGATTACGATTACCCAGTCTGAGGAATAGAGAGAAAAAAGAATGAAGAAAAATGAACAGAGCTTCAGAGGTCTGTGGGACACAGAAGAAGAGAAAGATAAAGGAGCATAAAGAATATTTGGAGAAATAACGTCCAAAAACTTCCAAAATTTGATTTAAAAAAACATTAATCTATACATCCAAGAAGCTCAATGAACTCCACGTGGGATAGACTCACAGAGATCCACACCTAGACAGATCATGATCAAACTGACAAAAGCCAAAACAAAGAGAGAATCTTAAAAGCAGCAAGAGAAGTGACTCATCACATACAAGCTATCCTCAATAGATTAACAGCTGATTTCTTGTCAGAAACCATGGAGCCGAGAAGGCAGTGGAATAATATATTCAGTGTGCCGACAGAAAAAAAAAAAAAAACTGTCAAACAATTATTTTTTTTTAATCTGGAAAAACTATCCTTCAAAAGTTAAGGAGAGAAAAAAATAGATATGTTGGACTTAATCAAAATTAAGAACTTTTGTGCAACAAAGAACATTACCAAGAAACTGAACAGGCAATCTACAGAATGGGAGAAAGTATTCACAAATCCTATCTGATAATGGCTTAATATCCAGAATATATAAAGAACTCCTACAACTCCACAACAAAAAGACAAACAACCCAATTAAAAGGGCAACAGACTTGAATAGAAATTACTTTAAAAAAAGATACATGAATGTCGAATAAGCACATGAAAAGATGCTCAACATCATTAGAGATTAGGGAAATGTCAGTCAAAACCACAATGATATATCACTTCAAACCAACTAGGAGGGCTATAATAAAAAATAAAAAACAGTATGTATGTTCATACAAAAACTTGTACACAAATGTTCACAGCAGAATTATTCACAGTAGCCAAAAACTGGAAATAATCCAAATGTTCATCAACTGATGAGCAGATAAACAAAATGTTGTATATCTATGCAATGGCATATTATTAAACCATAAAAAGGAATGAAGCAGTGATATATGCTACAACATGAATGAACCTTAAAAACAATATCCTACATGAAAGAAGCAAGTCACAAAAGGCCACATACATGATTCCATTTATATGAAATGCCAAGAACAGGCAAGTCCTTAGGGACAGAAAGTAGATGGATGGTTGCCAAGGAATGAGGAATGGAGGAATAGGGATTGACTGTTACCAGGTACAGGATTTCTTTTTGGAGTGATGAAAATATTCTGGAATTAAATAGTGGTGGTGGTTGCACAAGTTTTTGAATATACTAAAAACCATTAAATTGTGCAATTTAATATGGTGAATTTTATGCTACGTGAATTATGTCTCAATTTTTTCAAGTTAATTAAGAGAAAACTCAGGCAATGTCGCACAGAGGTTAAATTGTAGGGCCTCTTCCACTTACTAGCTGTATGACCTTGTCACTCAACTTCACTGTACCTGTTTCTTCCTCTGCCTATCTCATAGGGTTCTGTGAGGATTAAGTGAGTCAATATAGGCAAAGTGCTTAGAAGAGGATACATAATAAGAGTTCAGTAGACATTGTTTTTATTAACATTATCTTCATTAGCTTGTTGTTAACATTACCTTTCTATTCCAGTACAGGTGATTCCTTTCCACTCATTCAGGTCTTTTGTGTCCCTCCATAGGTTTTTAAGTTTCTTCATATAGATTTTGCACATTTTTTGTTACATTTAATTCCAAGTTTCTTATCTTTTTTTATGTTACTGTGAATGAGATTTTCCATTTACATCTTCTAACTGGTTATTTTACATATAGAAGAAGGCCTTTGATTTTTTTAATGTGAATTTCATTCCCAGCCACTTCCTGAATTCCCTTGTTATTTATAACAGGTTTTTTTCCATGTATTTTCTAGGATTTCCCAAGTGTACCAGCATCTGCAAGTAATGTTACACTCCTGTCTTTAAAAGAATCTGGAAGCCTTCATTCTTTGACCATGCTCTGGAATGACATACGTAGCACTAGAACTAGCCAGTCTTTAAATATTTGGTAGAAGCCTTTTGTGAAATCAGTCTAGGACTGTAT